ATAAAACAGGTATTGTACCTTAAAAATTAAGAGCAGACATGGTGTAATACATCACAGATCAAAATAAATCTATGCTGTCATCCAAGCTCATATATAAATACTAAGTCCAATTCATTTCCTTTTACATCATACGTAAAGATCTGAAGCACATTCACACACGGAAACATCTCCCTCAAAGTCTGTCTCATGCACGTCCTCACACCAAGCATGTGCAAAACAACCCCGTTAAAACTCACCTTGCAACTGAATGGGCCATCAGAAAATTACAGACTTTGGGGCAAGGAAGGACCAGGATACAAACCAGATAGGTGATCTGCATTAATTCAAACACAGCTAGATTGTCCACTGAAATGAGAACAGGTAAATCTAGATACCAAAAATAAATAACCAAACAGACAGTGGATGCAAAGGCAAACAGTGGCCACAGCTGTTACTGAAATGCCAATAAATTTACACACTTCCTGCACTAAATATTTTAGTATATCACAGCAAGAGGAAATACTACTGAAAATTCTGTCACTTGCTTTGTCTAATATATGCCATAAAGGTCGACAAGCACACAGCTACAGAATGTTTATAAAACAAAGGAACATATTTCTAAACTGGACCACTTTCTAGTAGAAAGGATTAAAAATTATTGTCAGTCAAGGTAAACAATGGAGAAATTCTGTCATTCACACAAGGCCAAGAAGGGGCAACCCTTCCAATTAATTTTTTTAAAACAGGTTAGAAAAGTTTAAAGCATATTAAATCCAAATCTAACGCATACCAAACTCTCTCCCAGCATAAGCAGCAGGAGCGTTCTTCCCTCGTCACTCTGCTTGCTAATCCAGATGATTTAATAAAGATGTGAATTTGATATATGTGGAGTTTATTGTGTAACTTCAAGACAAAGGCAACAGCTTCTTTTTTCACTGAATTGTTAAAATTGTGTAAGTTTCAGCAGCCCAGTGAGGCAAACAAAGCAGCATCGGGAATCACAGCCCCCTCGCTGGAAAAGACGCTGAGCTTTGCTGCTGAACTCGCTTCCACAGCGCTCACTACAACGCAGCCGCTCACAGCACATCGCTTGCAGTGAGGGTTCAGTGCCTGAAAAACCTCACCAGAGGTCTGACAAACTCAGTCCCAGTAAACAAACGCAGTCCCTTGGTAAAGCCTCTAAAATAACTAAGCAGTATTTAAAATAAAGCAGGCAGCAGAATGCACTGGAAAGGGAAAGAAAACAAAGGCTCCCGGCCGCATCTGGACCAAATTTGACCTTTGTTAATGTATTTCTAGTAATTCACAGATGTTACACACTGCTCCAGCAAGAGGGTTGCCCTGTGGGCTCATTGCAGTGACAGGTTCAGTGTAACGATGAAATATTAACAAAAACTCACAGATGAAGGCTAACGGTGCCGCGTGGCACGTGCCCGTCAGCCTGGACTGACGAGCCCAACAGCCACCGAGCAGCAAAATATATTCCCACCCTTTCCAATCAACACCTGCACAGTTCTAGGTACATACTGATGTCTTCACCTGACATCTGCAGTATGGGACCTTCAAAATTTCAATTAAAAATTAAAACTAAAACCCCACCAGCACTTAATTACTGGGTTTCTAAAGGATACTAATATATATTTCACTGAAGGGGAAATTGTTCTGGTTTGGTCAAACCAGGAAAAGCAAAACCCCATTAAACTGGCCCCGGATTTTTAAGTTAATTTGATCTGGTTATTCTTTATTAGCTAAAGCTGTGGTGTTGGAAGTCAAGACAACCCCTCTAGACTCAGTGTTATTTATCTCTCACTCCCAGCTCAAGCTGCTAGGCAAAGGAAAACACAAAATTCTAGAAAGCATTTTCAGCAGAAAAAAACCCCCCAAAACCTACCAGCTACTTCACATAAAACATGTTGGTACAAGATATGATGCATCAGAGAAAACTCCTTACAGAAAACATTTCAGGGCAGAGCCACGTCCAGGCAGCATTACTAATACCACATTCTGGAATGGAACGTGAACGCACGCACAGAGCTCGCGGCAGGCCAGCGTCAGAGGTGTCACACCTCGCAGGGGCACCAGCAGCACCGGTGTCTGCTCTCAGAAACCTCCAGATCCACAGCTCCCACAGATCAGCTAATCATTTTAATGCCATTATGGGAAAAAAGGTGAGCTTCAAGGAATCTGAGCAGCCATTAAAACAAACATCAAGTTGTTTCCACCATAACCTGTGCATTAACAGAGTATTTGAGAAGTTCCTGATCCTGCTGTGCTTTGGGAAGCCTGCTCCTTCCTTCATAGCCAGCACTGAAGCCGGACCATCCAGTCCTGGCACTGGCTGAGCGTGGCATGCAGTGGACACAGTGCCCAGCACTGCACCGAGGGGAAGCTGTCCCCGACACCCACCGTCTCTTCCTCTGCCTCCCCTTCCTTCACCTCCCCAGCACCTGAGGAGCTGCCGGTGCCAACCCCAGCAGTGCCACAATTCCAGTAAATCCCCGACCGCCCGCCCTCTCAAGGCAGGTGTAATTCAGAAGCCCCCAACAATGCCTGAAGCGGGGAGGTCTAACCCAGCTCTCACTAACGCTGCCCAGCCCCAAAACGGTGCCCACCTTCCAGCACGCCGAGGAACTGCCTGAATTCGCAGGAGCGCTGTCTGGAGCCTGCGCATCCACCCAGACACTGGGATACTGCTGGAACAAACACCATAGCGCAAATCCCAGCCGACTGAGAAGGTTTAAAATCTCAGCCCATGCCTAAAGGAAGCCTTTTCTTAAATACAGTTTCACACACTCAGGGGTATGGCAATGTTAAGTTAAATTATTTCTACTGACTGAGGTGAACAGCCTGTTTTGTCTCACCCATTGTATCTTCATCATCTCCAACAACAGTTAAAGTAAATTCTCTGTGAGTCTGTATAAATTTCCTCATCCGAGGAACCAGCCCATTCAAATCCCTCAAGTGACTAAAGCATGAACCAACCCGAGCGCCTCTGCATTGTTGTGGAACTGGTTTGCTATTTTATGTTAAGCCTCTGAAATACTAAAACATATCCTTATATAGGAACACTGATTAAATGGTTTTCCTTCCAAGTGATGAACTGTTTTAACACCAACATTGTGGTTATCGCGACCAGAAAGCAATTACTTCTTTCACTAGCTGTTACTAAGAATAGCTGTGATCAAAGTGACTGGAGGAGTGCTGTTAAAAGACGCTGCAGAAGCATCGCTCCGTATGACACACACACACACAAAATATAGATCATTTAAAGCCAAATTACACTTTTAATAAATGTGCTGCTCAGAATTAAATCACTGCTTAGGACTACTTTTTTCATCCAGGAAGTCGAGATCTATGGAAGAAGTTATTCTTTCAAAATTTATTTCTAAACACAGCACAGTGTGAGATCTGTGTATCTGTGTGTGTGTGTGTGTGAAAGTGCACACGTAACGGGGTGTGTGTGGTGTGAGAGAACGTATATATGTGCTCGAGCCTGCCAAGGCAGAAGTGACAGGAACTGTGATTTGTGCTAACTAGCTATTGATCCAGTCAGATCTAGATGTTGTGTACAAGAAACAATAAAAGAGAAGGGGCCAGGAAGGATGCTGTGTGCAACTCCCATTTAAAAATGGAAAAGAAGGGCCCCAAACAAACCAATTTATGTCCTTGCCTGGGTGAAGCATGGAGAATGCTGATGGGCTTCCTCGGGTCTGCCGTGCATGCTAAACACTCTGCTCAAAATGAGAGTCTCCTGCGCTGGGCATTAAACATGAACAAAGAGACAAACCGTGGGGGCTAGGATTCACGCTTCAGAAAGCCAAAGCTGCAAAGCCAACCAGAACCAGGTTAGGAAACAGCCCAGTTTCCAAACCAGCTCCCTTCTAATTTCACCAAGAACTTTGTTAACAAAATTACTAAACGTGGAGGGCTGTAAAAAGTCAGTTACCTCTCTACTTAAAGAGGTAATGAAAACAATTCCAAACTACACTGCAGTACCAAAATATCACCTTTCCTAGGCACAGATAATGAGTTTATATTGTGCAAACTGCACACATGTATTTCTTGCACACCAAAACCCACCCGCCTGCTCTAAGACAGCAGGTACAGCATGTGCACCCGTTACAACAATCACACATACAGCTAGGCAGGTTGCAAAACAGGGATTTGATAAGAGAAAATAGAAACCAATTGAATCTATAATCATCCTTATCTCAAACAGCTTTTATAATAGAGGGTTTTCCATTAAAATATTTTTTCCTAAACCTGGGGAATTATGATGCCCTCTGGACAAATGGAAGGATCAAAAATGACAACTAATGTCAAAATTAAACATCTGTCAACTAAGCAAGTTTTACACTAACAGACCTAAAGCCTTATTTTAAACTGCCTTTCAGTTAAATGAAAAATAATGTTACAAGCTGTTCAGTTCATTATCACACTGCTCATGGGCTCCAAACAAGCAGGGGGCACCTGGACCTGAAGGGGCAGCACTACCACCAGATTCGTGTTTCTGTAGTTTGGGAAAACCTCAGTCACACTTTTGGGAAAGTGGCTGGAAGGTTCAGCTGGCACCAGGCTCAGTGGGAGCCCCCTCCTCAGCACTCCATGCCTGGTGGGGCCCTGCAGGAGCCCCCTCCTCAGCATCTGAGGCTGTACCTCAGGCCCAGGAGCTCAGGTGGGGCTCACTGGGAGCCCCTTTGCTCAGCACCCCCAACTGCCCATTCCCTAGGAGGTATGACAGGGACAGGGCTGGAAGCAGAGATGCCATGGGGCAGTTGTTACCTGGGCCAGTCAGGCATCAGGCACTCTGTCCCTGACACTGGCCCTCCCAGCAGAGCCACCCAGCATCCTGCAACCCCAGTCCAGACCAAGAAGGTGCCTGGCACCCACCGAGAGTGGAGAAAGTGTGGAGCCAGTGTGTGCCCTGAGTACCAGAGCTGCAGCCCCACCATGTCCCCTTCCCCGAGAAGCCGACAACCACCCCTACCCCTGTGCCAGCACCCATGTGGGACAACTGATACCTTCTTTGCTGGGGTTCGGGGGCTTGGGCTTCTCCCAGGGCGCCATGGACTTGTCCTCCTCCTGCCCCTCCATCAGGGCCTTTTCTCCAGGCAGGTACCAGGTGGAGTTGTGCTCCGCCATCAGGGAGTCCAGGTCTATGGTGCTCATGGTGCCCTTGACACCCTCCGAGCAGCAGCTGCCCAGGTCGCTGTCCCCATTCTGCCCCGCACACTCCCCCTTCTTGCTCTTCAACCCCAAGGGCTGATCTTCCGAGATGCTGAACTGCTGCCGCTGGAGCTGGATCTGTGCCTGCAGGATCTCCAAGGGGTGGATCTCATCCTGGGCCGAGGTGCTTGTGGGGGTCCGCACCTGCTCCATGCTTGGCGTGCCAGGGTGAGCGCCCGCCGTGGTGCTGAGCCCATAGCTGTCAGGGGTCGAGGTAGATGTACTGAGAAGGCCAAGGGCCAGGGGCTTCTGTCCGTTGAGAAGTGCGTGCTCCCCACGGGGCAGCTTGGGCGAACCACCCAGCAGCGGGCTACGGGTGGTCTTGGAGGTGGCATTGTCGGAGCTGGAGGACACCTCGTCCTCGTTGCCATAGCTGGTGCTGACCTCGTCGGGAAAGTCCACGTGCGGAGAGCTGCCGTCTGACTTGGTCACGCTCTGGATGCCGCTGTCCAGGGAGGACATCAGGTCGGGCTGCTCCGCCAGCAACAGTTCACTGCCCTTGCCCCAGGAGGGTGAGGTCAGGGGCTTGTCATGAGGGGTGCCTCCACCGCGCTCAGCGCCCGCAGCCCCCGGCGGGGCCCCCGCCGCCACCGGCACTGCCGGCTGCCCTGGGCTGACACCGGCTCCCCCACCCTCGGCAGCTGAGAACTTCTCAAAAAACGTGCCGGGGCTGACGTGCCCACTGTCCCGTTTCCGGCGACCCCGACCCCGCCCGCCACCCGCCTTC